TGTTGCTACTTGAAGATACCATGGTAATTAAACAATATCCTCTGGAAATTAATAAATGTTTGTGGATGAGAATTTAACAAATAAGTAACACAGGATGATGACATGGAGCACAGAAATAAGACAGAGCGAGAAATGGGAATCAAACCAATGACCCTACACTGGTGGATCCAGCACTAGTTCACTAATTTGCATCATATAAAAGAAATGGTTCATTTTCACGGATTTATTTTATGATGCAAATTGGTGAACTAGTGCTGGATCTGCCAGTGCCCTGAGTCGCTGACTTTTTCAACTTACATGCACATGCTCTAACCACCTAGAGACTCTTGTGGAGCCTCTTGAGCCCCTCGGTTGACATTATGGTTTCTTGCCCTAATTAATACTTAAAGTTCAATGCTTTCATTGTTGCTCAGGTCCTCCGTGATGCTGTTCTAAGTCAATCACCAGAGAAAAAAGAAGAACGACAACGTACATCAATTGAAGCAAATGCCGTGTATGATTTACTGGTGATTGCTCTCACAAGACGAGCGCAGTATGGGATGCTGGTAGAAGTAAGTTTGATTCTTGATTTTTTTAAAGTCTCATCTCTTTAGCCTTGTCTCAAATGTACATGACTTGGTGTTCTACGTAGAACTCTGAGCGCATACAATTTAAATGTAGTCAAAAGCATAAGAAAAGGTCCGATAAAACGCTCTTTTCACCATTAATATTTTTGAAAACAGATATTTTTGTGCGTTACGTTCAGCACGACTGACGTTGCCGTGCCAATGCCGTGCTACGGTCACGCCGAACTCAATTGATTCATACGTTGACCTGTTCATGTACTAAATTCAAACTATTTGGTTCGGYGCGACGCTGTCTCGACGTATGAACCGACCGTGAAAAGGGGTTACATAGATATTTTAAAACAAATGTATTGTTGTTTATCAATGAAAGGATACGCATGTCTTCCAAGTCGTTTTGTTTTTGTCAGTTCAGCTTCTTTGACTTTTTCTTTCTTCTTCCTCTTTTCTTCGATTTTCTTTTCTTTCATTATAATTTCTTTCTTCAAAGTCTTTATTCTAATAGCAAATTCAAATAGTTTTAATACAAAGCTCTGAGAAAACAGATGCACCTATACTATGACAAATGGTAACAATAGGAAGCTTGGTGGACTTTTTAACACTGTCAGCCTTAGAGGACTATGCAGTGCAGGGGAAAGTTCTGTAATTACTTAATTGAGTTATGATCCTATTTTACCTGTATATTTCATTTTCTTGTAGTTTTAAATCTTTTTCAGTGTCCTGTTCCTTTTGCTATGACAATAAAAATGGCACTTCATTCAACTCAACATTACAAGTAGCCAAAAACAATAAATTTTCTGTAGATTTAAAATAACTGTCTTTTTCAAGAACAAAAAAAACAATAATAATAAAAACACATACCTGTTCCTTTTCTTGCTTTTCTTTTCGTTTTTGCTGTTTTGTTTTTCTATTGAGTGGCTGAACAGATTTCACATAATCTTCTATTTGCTCTTCATCACTGCTGTTCTTTTCATTTTCTTCTTTTTCATCATCAAAAAGACCTTGGCTCATCTCTTCTTCCCAGGTTGGCTACAATTCAACACAGTAAGTTAAATTTAACATAATAATCTGAACGTTCGTAGGTAAGAAACCAAGACAATGGTCGAACAAGGACTTGAACAGAACTCCCTCACAATAGTCTAGTGCTGAAGCAACTAAACTAACTGATTGTTGGTTAATATATAAGATAATAATTTTAATGAAATCTTACAAGATTTGCTGCATCTTCTTTACTTAGCCACTGTACTTTTCTGTTMAGCTTTTCAATCTCTTTCACTTTTTGCGCTTCTTTGTMATGTGCCTTTTGAAGCAATTCCTGATGCTCTTCGTATGTGGGATTGTATGAAGCACCAGCTGCACAAACCTCGACGGCAGGAAGATCAGTGACTTTACGCTTTGCTGTTTTAGGTATCTACAATTTTGAGTCAACATACAACAAGAATTTTAAAAAAAGATACTGTTTTAGTTTGTTTTTATGACCAATATTGCAGATTCAGTGTTTATTATTTTAGAAATAAGCTGGTTATCATAGCAAGCATGCAATATTAAATCACCCTTGTCTTAATTACCTTTATTTTACTCTTTCTTGTGACCCTTAGATAGTGCTCATCACCAACTTGTTTATCTGTATTAAAAGATGTATAGTATTGATGTACACAGTACTTTTTACATTAAAAACACACAAAGCAATAAATATAAAGACAGAGAATGAATGGATGGGAAAGAGTGAATGAATGGATGAAAAATGAATAAGACCTTCCTGAATCAAAGTCAGACATGCATCCAAGAACCTCTGAGTGATTTTCTCACATACAGAAAATTTGCTATCAGTAGGCACCTTTTAGCCTCCTCTGCAAGCATCACAAAGAATCAAAGACTTCCTGTCTTTTTTGAGAGTCAAAAGAGGGAGAATTTTTCCTTTCTCGTCACTAGTCCCTAGCAGCCAAGATGACCATTACAAAGGAAGCCCAAAGGAGGAAAAAAGAGTTGCCTGGGGAGGAGGCTAGGCAGCTTTACACAAGAGATCATTTCCAAATCAAAACAAGTGACCAAAAAGGTTATTGGATCTATGGAGAGATGAAGAAGCATACCTTCAGTTGCCCAAAGATCAAAGTTTGTTTTAGGCACTTTTTTTTGTCTAGGTTTTTCTGATGCTATRTAATTGTTGTTTTTAGGTTTTTCATCTTCAGATTCACTAGACGAATCACTCTTGGCTGAATTTTTGTTTTTCTTATTTTGCTTGACTTTCTTGCTTCCGACTGGTTTAATTCTTGTATCGGGTAAAAGCAACTCATCTTGTTTGAGTATTTTCCGTTTTCTTGATTTCTTTGGGATTGAATTATCTGATTGAAAGGATAAAAAATATAATTATATGTATTGAAAACATCACATGCACAAATTGTTGATATGTTATATTTGACTGACTAATTTAATTTTTACCTACCAGTGACTGCAGATTTTTGTGACGTATCGACAAAGAATAAACTGCTATCGGGTTTATCTTCAACAGGGCCACTAAATATAAGAAACAAAGAAACAGGGAAACATTTAACATATATTTGAAATTATTAGCATCCACGTGGGAGAACTTCACATTGCACAATTTCAGAAAAATCGTCATTTACAACCGTGCTTGTACAATTCTATTCAAAAATACCAACCCTGTGCGTTCTTCTTGTCTTAAATCATCAAGAAAATCTTCTACATCTTTGATATCAGTATGTTTACGCCAGTTTTTCTTTGACTTTTTGCTGTACTTTTTCTTTTTCGTCACAGCCGCCATATTGTTTTTGTCATTCATGATCGCGGGCTCCTTGATGACGCAGTCTTCCCCATTCCCTTTGGGTTACCTGTGCAATATTATTCAATATGGCCGCCGTTTCGTTGTTCTATATTTATTTTCTGTTTGTGTCGTAAATCTTTCATGATCTTGGAATAGCTTTTTCATGAACATGTAATTCACTTACTAACAGTTCAAAGGAGTCTAAAGTGTGCATGATATCCGAAAATGGCTCGCCGAAACACTAGAACAACTTTGGAAAATGAAATCGAGCGAGCGAGAGTTGAAGGGAGATGGGAGACGGTGAAAAAACTGATTGAACAGATCTCGAATCGAACGACATCGGAATCAAAGCCTGGTATGATATATTTGTGCTTTTTAAGGTCAGTCTTCAGTTAGCAATCATTGACACTTTATATTGAAACTGTTCCWATTTTTCCTTCTGACAATATGAAAACAAGACTTGCAAAAAATACTTCTTCTTGGCGAAGTTGGCCTGGAGACTTGGATACGTGATAATCCATTAGGTACTGTAGCTACAGACGAAGCTAGGGGACCACTTCAATCTGCAGTAAAGATACTGCAAAAGGCTGCAATCGTTGAGGGAAAGAAGGTAACATATTTTGTTGTCAAAAGTGTACAAATTATTACAAGGCAAAGGATTTTGTACTTGCACAATTTTGTTGTTTCACAGATATACATGATTATAAACCAAATAAAATATGATATTGTTTTACTACGATTTAAATCAACATTGATAGTTGTATTTACCTTCAATGATAGGATGACAAGAATCAAGAAGCTGTGTTGCTTCTCTGCAAAGCTCACTTTTTTCTGAAAGATTTCCAAGCATGTGTAAGCTATCTAGACCAAGTAGCAAGTGAAGAATTCACAGTAGATGTCCAGTCAAGGAGAAGATCTAAACTTTTTGCTGAGGGATTTGCATATAAGGGTAAGAATGTTTGGAATATTAGTACAGTTTTTGTTCAAGTAACATGGTAAAGTTTACAAATTCTGTCACCCAGGAATGGCCCTGGAAGAACTTCAATCAAGAGGAGATTCATCTGTCAATACAGATGACATCATAACATGCTATGAATGTGCAGGAGATGTTGCAATGTGGCTGATGGCAGGACAAAAGACAACCTCATCACTTGTGATACCTCCACTGGCTGGGGAAATGGGTACTGCACTGGAAGTTGCCATTCAGAGAGCTCCAATCTTGCATATCAAAGCTGGGTAAGGAATGAAGTGGTGTTGGTTAAAATACACAGTACATTATTGCATCATACAAGATTTTTATGCTGTCAAGTTGAGATTACTTTGCATTGTCTTAGTCTCATATGTGAGTTTCCATGTTATTCAGAAATCTCCCAAGTTGTATTAAAAGATTTAGGAATGTATTGAAAGCCTTGGAATCCAAAGCAACACATGAATTGAGGAAGGTTAGAATAAGTATTGTAATCATTTTTCTATAATACTACTTACATGTGATTGTTTGTGTATGGAATGACTTCTTATGTGTATCGTATCGAGTGGATCAAATGTGTATCAAATGGATCAAATGTGTATCGAATGTGTATCAAATTGGCTTTTTATGTGTATATATGCATCAAGTCAATCCGATATGTTATGTATATCGAGTAGATTGTTATTGTCACATATTCAAGCTTTTTACAAAGCTATTTCACTGAATGCTTCATTTTAAAATTGTTGTCTATTATTTCTATTGACTTATAGATTGTAGCAAGACAACTTTCAGAAGTCCTTTTGCGAGGTGTATGTGACGAAACATATGAGAAACCAGTGTATGTGAATACCAATATCCCTGGTTCTACAGCTTCACTTTCCAGAGGAGCAAGCAAGCTTGACACTCCAAAAACTACTAGTTATAAAACAAGTTCATCATTGACACCTCTTGTTCACTCAGGAGACAGGTTAGTATAGATCCAAATTGAGTGAATGTATTGGTGATAGATTAAATGTAAATGATATCTTTATCAACATCATTGGTTGTTTATTATTATGTTGAATTTTTTTCATTTTCTTAGTTTGTTTGTACCACGTGATGAAATGGAAGAGGTGTTGTTATTGTTGCTACTTGAAGATACCATGGTAATTAAACAATATCCTCTGGAAATTAATAAATGTTTGTGGATGAGAATTTAACAAATAAGTAACACAGGATGATGACATGGAGCACAGAAATAANNNATTATCATATGACCCGTATTTCGGCCCTACGCGCACTCTCACTGAAACCTTTGGAAAATGGTCACGTGATGGGGTCCGTACGCCTTTTCGCGACAGGTCCGTACAAACCCGTATTTTCCCGGCTTGAAGTTCTGCGCGCTTTTTTTTATTTTCTACGTTGAAAAATGCTGTCATATGATAAAATGCTTATTGACTGAGTTAGGTCGGGCCGTACGGGAAAATATTTGGCTCTCGGTCATTTGTACRGACCTCGCTGCGCTCGTTCCGTACGGCATAACCTCGAGCCAAATATTTCCCCGTACGGCCCTCCCACTCAGTCAATAAGTACATATTATCTCATGTGCAACATTCCACTGCAGTGCAGACATTCCTCTGACAGCTACTCTATTTGTGTGAAGTAATTGCAAGATAATAAACCAAACAAACTCTCAACTCATTACTAGTTCTACATGGAATGATACATGTCTAAAATCTATTCCCTAAATTACCACAAAAAAATCAAAATCACATTCAAGCAGAAAGTCATATTTATACTAATAGGACCTTTCAGAGGGCAGTGATTTTGAGAGTTGAAGTCAACAAACTAAATTGAATATATTTTTGTAATTTTAGTTTCACAGAGCTCTTCTAGTTTTGAGGCAGTGTGCAGAAATGAACCCAAAGGATCCACTGGTACCTTTACATGCAGCAAAGTTGTGCTTTAATTACTTACACTCRGTAAGTGCACTGAGTATTGATAATGTCAGCATGTTCTTAATCCTTTAGCAATATATTTTATATATACATATGTACAAGATATGATATCACATATTAAACAATACTTGCGATTATTTTTTCATATTGATAATTGTAGTTTGATGAAGGAGTTGGATTTGCAAAGCGGGTGGTTGATATGGGTGACGACACAATGCTAGCATCCAAGGGATATGAAGTACTAGGTATTGGATACAGTCTTCAGGCTGGAGAAGGTTGGTATTATTAAGGCTAGGATCATGTGCTTTTAACTGTCACCTCACCCTTARAATCCTAGTCTTGGGATCCCTGTTTTGGATGGTTGGAACAAAAACTACATTCTGTTGCCTTATTCTTTCCTGCAGCTTCAGTAATGCAATGAATCCCAGAGAGGTTTTTGTAGAGGAGACTTAGTAGGATGTGTTTCTTGACTGCTGTTCAGTTTATACTTAAAAATCCATTAATAAAGTTTTTTTTGTTCTCTTTACAAGCATCTCTTAGTGCAGATAGACAGAGACTCCAAAAGCTTTCAACAGATGCACTTGAAAAGTAAGTACAGTTCACAGGCAGTGTTATCAAAATTCCAATAAGTTGTTTAAACAATAAAATGTTTTTTTTTGTAAACAGTGCATTAGACCATGATCCCAATGATCCAGATATCTTGTTTCATCTGGCTTTAACTCAAGCTTATGCTAGACAGGTAAAAAAATGATTATTATGATATTATTAGTAACTATGTCATTATTATTATTGTCATTATTGCTGTCGAGTTGTTTAAAATTAATACTATCAATTTTTCTGCTATATTTTGCTGTTGTCAATACATATATATATACTGATTTTGATGATTGATGCAGTTATTATCACTTTATGAATTTTTTTCTTAATTTTTAATTTTAAAAATCACAGATATCAAGGGCATTAAAAAATTTGAGGAAAGCTGTGAAGCTGGATGGAGATAATGTCAACTACCTTCACCTTCTTGCATTACTGCTTTCTGCACAGAACAAGGTGAGACTGATGATTTAAATACCTAAAATACTCTTGAAAACAAGCTTTCAAGCCTTTTCATTGGAGTTAGAAAGCTGTGAAATCTATCAGCAAGCTTGTTATTATTCATAGGTATGTAGTATAATTGTAAGCATAGTCACTATGGAATACCTGGAATTCATTCAGGGATTCAGATAACTGACCTAAGAAACAAGGAATAATAATAAGTTACTGAAGGTCTCTGTTGGTTGAATTTTTTTAGTATGGAGAAGCCCTTGAGGTCTGTGAAGCTGCACTCTTGGAATTCCCAGAAGAATTTAGGTAAAGTGAATGTTATTATATTCCCAACTGACACAATGAGCTTATCATTTTAAATCCTCTTCACCCTTATGAAAACACCATGCTACCATTATGCTAATGCCATTTTTACAGGTAAACTCATTATTTATTCCTGTAGTTCAATCGCTTTAATTATTTATCATTATTCAGTTTATTGCTGACCAAGGTCAAACTTGAAGTAATATGTATTGGCGGCGATCAGGCACTCATTACCTGTAAACACTTACTAGAGACATGGAAACAAGCTTATGAATCAGARATTATTGACATGTGAGTAATTCATTCCCCAACCCTCCCCCCCCCTGTTTTCCATTTTGTCTTTATGGGGGAGGGGTAGGGATCAGATATACACTAGTGTGTAACCATTCATAAAAGGTTAGGGAAGTAGGAATCACTGAGCAAATTTGTACTAAATAGACACTTTCTTGAAATAGACTGAAGGCATTTCACCTTTTTAGCTTAAAGTTATTATCGAATTTATTTGTGGTACTAAATGTAATGTGTCTACAAAAGACCATTTCTTAATTATAAAATTTGATTTTTGTTGTTGTTGTTGTTCTTTAGATCAACAGAGATCAAAAGGACGGGGTCAGGACTATTGGATAAAGTTGTTGCTGATACCAGAAGTCTCAAACAATTTCCTTTAACAGAAATAAGCAGTGACAAGGAGGGTATGTTGTTGTATTGAACTAGCCACTTAAACAACAAGCACATCTCAATATTCACATTTCCTCATGCACAAGCTTATAAACAGCTAGATTGTAAGCCAGTTTTGAAAATAAATTATTTTAGAACTACTTGCACTTACTAAATCACAACATGTACTTTTAATTAGATACTGGCTCAATTGCTGCCTCTGTACGTCTTGAACAAGCCTTRTCAGATGAAGCTTCAACATCTATAGCCAAACTAAGTATCCCAGGAATCCTTGCACTTCAGGCCAAGCTATGGTTGGCTATTGGTGAGTTAAGAGTAGATTAGATTTGCTGGTATGATCTGTTCCCTGTGTCATAAACTAAATGCTTGTCTTTCAGCTGATGTTTTTATTGGAATTGACAAAGATGCAGAAGCAAATGCATGTATTCAKGAGGCAAATTTAATATTTCCTTTGTCTGCTGATGTACTTTTTCAGGTAACCTTATCATAGTTMTAGCAATATTCTCCTTCACAGTTCCCTGTGCCATCTTCAAAGGTGACCCTACCTTTAGATTGAAGCTGCAAGATTATCTAAGTGATAGTGCTTYTATTGAAACCTGCAAAAAGTTTTTTTTATCATTTACACATTCACTGGTCATCTATCTTAAATGCAAAGGTGAATATTGTCACCTTACAAGATGATACACAGTTCTTACAAGATGATACACAGAGCTGTGAAGACTAATTTATTTCAAAATTCCAATAGTGGCATTCCTATAGAAGGCTCTTTTTTTACTTTATAAAGTTTGTTCTGGAGGGCTTTTATAGATTTATGAACAACTTTGGCAATTGTTGTTAGCTGCTGGTCAACAAGTGGCCATCAGTAATGGGTGTGTTTGATTTAACTAATGCAATGTAAGGTCAAGTGATGAGGTTATTCTTAAACTTTATTTCACAGCGAGGTCGTATCTATGAAATCCGTGGAAGTCTGAACGAGGCCAAGACAATGTACAATAATGCTATCTCAATAAAYCAACATCACATACCAAGTTTGCAGAGATTGGTAAGAATGTGTTTTTTTTTATATTAATTTGATCTCTTGCCATAGTGTTTATTGCCTTGATTATTTCATCTGCTGGTCGGCTTTGTCCTGTGCAACAACCCTGAGTATGCATCCCATATTATTTTTTGCTAGGGAATGGTGCATGAGAAACTAAATAATTTGGTGATGGCTGAAAAGGTTCTTCGAGAAGCCATAAATGTTGATCCAACTGCCCATGTAGCCTGGTATGTTATAGAAAAATTACATTTAAGTGCTCAGAAGTCTTACAATCTAATTCTCCATTAACTAAATTGGTTTTCATTGTTGATTTTCCACAGGCATTACCTYGGAGTTGTGCTAGAGCGACAAGGACAACATGAAGCAGCCAGTGAATGCCTTTTTACTGCAGTTGATTTAGAAGCAACAGCACCTATCATTAGTTTTTCAGTGATTCCAAGAATGCTRTAAATTAATACCAATATAATATCACAATTTTATTAAGACATTAATATCATAATGTACATTCTATTTAATTGATTAAAGAGAGGACAAAATATAATCTTGTTATTTTATCTTTCAATACATGTACATCTCTTGTTGACCTGCCAGGCTATCATCATTGCCACAAATATATTTTAAGTGTTTCAGAACAGTAAAAAGGAGTGTGGTTGTACTRCCAATAAAAAATAATTAGGGCCATTTTCATCATTTTGTAAGGTTTATGAAAACCACTCAATATGTGATTGCATTGTCCAACTGTCCAGTGTGACAATTCGAAAAAAGAGACTCCTGCCCAAGAGATGACAGACGATGCATGAAAGACGGGCAATCATTTACTGCCATGACTTCTGTGCGACTGATGCACTACARTCCACTAACTTGAACATTCAGTCAATCATTCACTGCATTTTGGTCAGAGGATCATTTCTTTTGCTATTGCTTCTGAGAATACTGGCAACTGYTTGTATTTTGCTACCAGGGCACTAAAACAGAATATATATATATGGACAAAAGGTTAACTTCTGTTATCAATCCATCATCATAGTAAGCGTAATATTTCAATATTACTTCTCTTCAGTCTACTCAATCAAGTCCCATCTTACTACAGTAACCTGTTTAATTAGCTTAATTCTGTTTAATTTAATTTCTGTGAAGTTTATAAATCTGTACGTACCTTTTCCGTTCGTATTCTTTATTGTGCTTTACTAACTGTGCTTTTTGGTCTTCGCAATTCATATCTAATCCAGGTAAAGTATCTAAAAGTTTTCTGCAATGCTGAATCTTCGCTCTAAAGTTGTTCACCTCAACAAACGAACGACAAAAGTTAATGTTAAACTTTCTCTGCCTCATTGAACACAAATTACATTCAATAATTCTATATGGGATGAATACCTTTTTAGCCATATCCTGTGTATCTCCAGTCTTTTGTACAGAGTGAATAATGTCAAAGACAACAGGAAGAAGATTGAACTCACTTACAATATCAACCTTCGTCTGGTCCTCCATCTTGAATAACGAGAGGGAATGGGCCCTATCATAGGCAAAGGAAGCCCAATGTAAATAGGTGAATCTCACTTTTTGGGGGTACTTTCAAGAATAAAATTAAGAGAAAAATGCGGTACTAGAGATAAATATAGATGTGCTCTCCAACTGAGCCACTGCAGCAGTTCAGTGACGTCTTTATCTGATATAGTCGCTGTTGCTGRGATGACCGCCAAGATCGAGTGGCCTTGTGCGTAAACTCAAAAAAGAAGAAAAAAATTGAATGAAATTAGTCATTACATAAAAAAAAAATAATCAAAAAACTTAGTAATGTCTGAAAAGGCAAATCTATTGCACAACACCTATAACAGCTACGTGATCATTTTTTATACAGTCTACGTACTTTCTTTGATCATTAATTATTTCCTAAACTTTTTTTTACTTTTGTAGTACTCAAGCTATTGTGAACAGCCGTATTTGTTACGATGAGTTATAGGTTTTACGCCTCCTTTCGACAGCCAATCAACGGTTACTTATCCATGATTGGGTGATGGTTCCACGGTAACTAGTCAATGRTTTTACGATAGTCTCGTCYATTCTGTTGCTGTCAGTTTAATGTAATACCATCAAGCATTGTCAACTGTCGGTTTCATTTCGATCAGTGTTCACTTCAGATGCTTACTGGAGGAAAACAAACAAGTATTGAACCGAAACGATTAAGGTAAACTAGACGCTGTTGATTCCATATAGCTACACCCTTCTGCTTAAAACTATATCCACTAAAATACTTACCAACGCTAATAATGTAATTCCTGCGAGTTTTTCTCTAGATTCGATCCAGTAGGAATTGCATTTGGATAAAGATGATTGAAAATAAGGTCAAATAAAAGCTTAATAGGACATTTATTGAGATGAAACATAAAATATTTTACACTGCACCTGTTGGCCAACTGTTCCGCTATATATAAAAGTTCATCATTGCCTAAACTAGACCAATTCACGATAAAATACAGAAGAAATTAAAAGATTAAAAAAGTTGGATAGTATCTTTGTGCATATTCGACTAAAAACTCAAACATTATATATATATAGAAACATATATAGAAACTGGCCATTTCGCGTGTAGATGTTTGCTGAGTATAGCAAAACCCAGGAAAATCCTTATACATAGTCGACAAAAAATAAGCAAACTCAATTCATTTATTTATAAACATATAGATGATCCTTGGCGGACTTTCATAGTGATCATTAAAATCAAATTAATCAATTTGTTTCTTTGTTTGTTGGTGAATTGGATTGGATTTGATATGTGAAATGAGAAAATCGAAATGGTTGGAATTTCATCATGACTTATATTGCGTGTGTACAACATCTTTTAAAACATAAACAAATACACATCTATGGTGCCACTGCTATTCAACGCTATCTTGGTTCGATTTTTTGTTATCTTTTCAAAATGATGGTTCCGTTAAGTGCCTCCAGTTGTTTACGCTTTCAATATGCACAGGCTAATTGTCAGAGCTACCATTTTTTCTCGATCGTCCTAGTTCACGCGTCGAAGTTCAGTCATTATAAATTACATGTAATCACCATGACGAACAATGAAAATATAGTTTCTTTTTATTCGAAAAGATTTTGGTAAACGTTTATTCTGGCAAAAAGGTTGTTTTTCAAAGAAGACAATACCATCAGTCTTATTTGATACGCCTTTTCTCCGTTTTTCTTTAGCTTCTTCCAGCAAAACTTGTCGGATAATATATTGCTTGGACGTGTCGGAAGCTGTCCATTCTGTCAATAGCCATAACTCATAAGTCATTGTATTAAACCTTCAAAAGACGACCAAGCTTTCACTGACCACTTGAAGTCCACACTCGACATACAACAAGATGTTGATCAGCAAGTGGAAGTCTTGCGGTGTTGCCAAGGTCTGAAATTACATGTTTTCCAATTCCCATCAACTTTGAAAATGAAGCAATAACTGCCCAGTGCGGATGGTTGGCATGTGACCGGGTAATTTTCTTATTACAATCAAAACTAACAATTGAATTTGGTGCCGGATTTTCAACTCAAGTACCTTGAAGTTATTTATTCAGGAGAATTCTTAAGTAGCCATTCTTCAAGTTCTAAGTGGCCATCGAAAAATCGTGAGGAATAGTATGAGAACACAAGGCCGCTCGAAAACCACTGCGATGTCGACCCGCGCCTCAAGGCAGGGGCACTTAGTAGAACTTTAAATTAATAAAAAGTATATTATATCTGTTAGAATCAGATTTCATTTTCCCCGGCAGTAAATTGTGAATTACTGTAACTTTAAAATATTGATGAAAATATCAGCCATACTCATTTCACGCGCCTCAGAGGCGAGAAGAAAGACAGGTAATGAATAGTTGATGAGAAACGTGTTCTACAACACTATATACAATATGCAACCATAGTAAGTCAATCATAAGATATGCGCAACCAAAAATACCAGTAGAACAGTAATATAGTGACGCCATGCCAATGGTTATTTGTTTTATCGCCCACAAAGATCCTGTTTTCATACCTTTTGTCACTAAATTAGAAACAGTTTGCATGATATATAATTTAGGGACTTTTGTTCRTTGATTTGAGTGCCCTGGTAATAATCTATATACTAGAGGATATTTCTATAAATAGAACAGCTCTGCGTCGGTGTTTCTAATGAGATCGTTGAATAAAAATGATTTATAAACACCGTAAAAGCCGGATAAAACTAACTGGCATTTTAAAGTTTGGGTCCCTCATCGACAGAGAACCCGTTGTCCGAAACCCCGATCGATATAAGTTCTCAAATCTTTTCATTGCGTGAAATTTTATCATTTAGCAGTRTATTATTGGACATGTGTCGCTTACATGAAGCTAAAGGTGATTTAAATCCTTATACTTATCTTGTGACATCATCGAAGCCTTAACCTCTTTTAAAGTTTATGTATAATGCAAAAGTTATCATTTGATCATCAAGCGTACATGTCTCTTGCAGAACATGTCATATTATAGATACATGACGATACCAAAATAACTCAAGAACATGTTATCAGCTGGATATTGTCGAGGATATTTTCTMTTSCCAACAGCAGCCATTTCAGTCTTCCCCGCGTTGATAACCAGCTAGTTAAGAGTRCGAATCAAAATTTRATTATTGTGGGTTTAAATCCGACCCATTTTGAAGTAAAAAACAATCGAAACAAAWTAAAAAATCCAAACAAGAAAATAGACGATCAAAAGMAGTACCCCGACGAACTCTAGTTACGTCATTTTCTAAATCAAACTTAAACCACGAGGCGCAGTATCGTACGTGATGGATTGTGATTCTCACTCGTTTGTTGTTCTTCAACATCGACTAATTGCGTTTGATGTGTTTCGATACAAAAAGGCCAACATGACAATGACTGCAAACAAATTAACTCAAGACGATTTTGATCATATTTCACTAAAAAGGCACGAATGCTTTTTACGTCACCACCTTCAAAATATGACGTTTTAGATCACGTAGAAATGCTAGTAAAGATAATAATATTTTATTCATTCATTTGTTTTCATTTCCTTCAAAATATAAACGATTATATCAAAATCATAATGCGTCTTTCCGAGTCACGTGATCGCATATTTTAGCGTTTTTTTTTTTTTTTTGAGCGCGCGCTGTCTTTTTCAGTAACAACGACAACTCAAAAAAACTTTTCATCAAAATATTCATGTCATTATACTGTTATTTTATGCTGATAGGGCAAAAGGAGACATTGAAGTGCGAAAGTGTAAAATATTGAGCGTCTGAAGAAAATCCTGTTTCTTTTTATGTCTAGTCCACGATATTGTATGAAATTACCTAATGAATTGCAAACTACATTTGCTTGGACTTTTCATATTATTTGGGATTGTGTAGAAAACCTCCCATCAAGAGTGAGACATTGTCGGGTTCAAGATGTCTTGACTGCATCTAATCGCTATCTTCCTAGATATCTTTTACTGGGACTGACTATGGGTGTGTAGTAGAGGCTCACAGGTCAAAGCTGTCAGATTGACTTAAACCGATCATGCTGTCTTAAAGAATTTTTCAGTCCAAAAACACCCAAGAATAGCGATAAAGCGATCTCCTCTTTGGTGGTAATAAGCGACTTGTGGCGGTAATCGCGCCCGATGAAGGCTATAAGTTCTTTCAAAGAGGCGCGTTAATGATCTAACAAACGGTAGGCCCGATTTGTGTCTTTTAAATCATTAGGCACGTACGTCGTCTAGAGTAACTTTATGTGATAAACACGCCAAAACCCGTCGAGCCTCCGTGAAAATGTCCTTCTGTTTGCAATTCACATCGAACTTGCTTCAATAAATACATCACAAGGTAAATAGTGTTTAGAAATTGGTCGTTGTTGCTTATCGTTCGAACGGATTTATTACAGCGGATGTCGAGAAATGCAGAAAAAGGTTATACGAAATAGCTGATCTCTCCGTAGCCGTTCAGATATCGCCATCACGATCGCGGGATTCATGACTGCATTAGTCAGAGCTGTTGTTCGTTCCCGCGCTAGCCATAGAAATTGTTTAATTGGTCTAATTTAAGGCTTGATGGCACGTTCGATCAATAATCTGCGCCTAATATTCCTTTCATTGAAATAATGAAAAAAATAGTTAACTCAAAGCATCCTAATATAATTTGACATCAATAGACTAAATATGGAGAGCTTTAGCTCAACCTATATGTTTTCCAATTAAGAAATAAAACTTCCTTGTTATTTTGGTATGTTTTTCTCATGTTAATGTAGGTATTAAAGTAATTGAAGCATTGACGGTACAAGTGAAATTCTCACAAGGCCAGATGTGTAGCCAGAGGATCATTTTCAAGACAGGTAGGGTATATTTTTGGTCTTATCTCTATATGATAAGTAAACAGATCATTGCAACCTCATTTTACCCAAGTCGTGACTCAATCTTTATAAAAGCTGACGGATATAACTTGTGTCTGTAGAGGCCTGCAAGTATAAATGTGTGAAGCTCATTTTTTCCCTTTAATCTTCACAAGTGATTTAGTATAAAGTCGCTTAMATCAATTAGCACGTCAGGTGGTATTAGAGATCATTGAAGTTGGGTGCTGTTAGTGTGTTGTCTTGTTCTGTGCAGTGCGGTTAGTTGATTGGATCAAGGCATCGCTGAGTTAAGGTGATCTTTTTGTACAAATGCTTTTAGTAAACTTAGATTTATTCCTCTACGAGCCTTACTAGTAAACATGTAGCTCTAGCTCTTTCTATATTTACGAGTGCTAACAAAAAAGAAGAGGAAGACTTTTATAAAATATCCAAACATTTCGACTTTTGTCGCGCGAATTCAGGTTTCACTTGTATGAAACTAGAACGAAAAATTGATACGCGAACAAACTTTATCGTAACAGGAACTAAGCAAATTGTTCTACAAGATTTTATCGATTTTATCATTTCAATCATTGAATGGCTATTCGATTATGGAAAAAAATGTGCAATCAATTGTATTTTGATCTGCATTTCCACTAGCTTCCACTCGTCATAAAACAATCAGCCCTTTTTTCCTCTATAATTGCAACTTCCTATTTTGACACAGAATTTTATTTTTATTCTTTCTGAATTTGTTTTTAAAGTGACGTGATGGTGTCTTAAAGCATTACAGAAATTTGTAGACTTTTCGACGATATAACATCGGCATTCGTCACTGTTTTTTTACATGCCGCTGTATATGACGTAATCTTTCAACAAGTAAAATATCATCCAATGTGTTCCTTTGCTTTCAAATCATTGAGTACACCAAATAGTGACATCTGCATTATTTTGTCTTTATGATTGAGGGATGTTTTGTCAAAAGCAGGAAGTTACTTATTGTGATTCAAGAGTAATATCACTACAGGGAGTTGAGTTTAGCATTAGCTCAATTAGTTTTTCAATTGAAATGGAAAATTCTGTGATGATATGACCTTGGATGAATGTGATTTTCTTCTGTACTGCATATTTTACAATATTTAAACCCCCTTGACGGCTCTCGAGCCTGCGCCATCTTGAAATATATATCTGACAGTGTCTGAGGTAGCAACAATATAGAGGATATTACATGGGCGCGCGGAGATGCGAATTTTAYACGAGTGAGCGAACAAGCGAGAAATCTAATTGAACAGCACACGAGAATATGCGCCTCCAAGTGGCCATGTAATGTTTTGCTAATTATAGACATATCGATGAAGCTAATAAAAAAGCAAAAGTTTAAAAGTTGTTTGTTAAGAAAACATGCGCAGTTTTTTTGTTACTAGGCCAACATCGTCCTAAATAACAAATTTTCAACATGAGAGAAACCTAACATTTCATCGATATCTATATAATAAAGTTACTTAATTGTAAGCGTAAAACAAGGTAAAAATCTCTTCGAGGTCGTTTCAAACGTCGGATCTCACATGAGTTGAACTCAATGTAGGTTACTCCAAATCAACTCATTTGCAATTAAGTCAGCACATATGAAATTCAACGTTTCGAACTGGCCTTTTTTCTGAAACTTACACCTACTTGCAGAAACGTTGTCATAGAAAATAGAACATTCGAATTTAGTAAAAAGGAATAAATTAAAATAAGACAAAAGAAAGCGTTCAGCCTCAGTGATCTTCTTTTGCCTTTCTAAAATACAAATTTCCTATTTTTTATGACAACGTTTTCACAAGTAGGTGTACCAGTTCCTATTTATAGACAGTGTTCCGAAGGCCCATTCCAAACGTTGAATTTCACATGTGCTTAACAACCTTTCAACTGAGACGGTTTCAAGACCATTCAAAACTATTCTAAATATTTTATCCACTTTTTTCTTTAGTTTTGGTAGAAAGAAGACCAGATGTTTTTTGTATACGACTTTTATATAARCATAGCGGTTCTCCACCTTATACGATGGAAGTAACCACAAAAACGATAATTAACCTAACAAACTTAAAAGATAAAAACAGTGCATTTTGTTATTGATAGTAATGACCATGAAATCATCGTCATGGTGATYTGTGAAGTCATTGATGTGTTAAAACGTRATCATAGTTGTATACAGACTTTCTTTTTAAAAGAGTTTAGTTCTAAATAAAAATAAATAAATTTTTGTGTTAATAGGTTATTAATTACAGGAAATCGAACATCATTATTTACTCGGGATTCTTAGTGCAGTATGAATGCAGGGATTGTATGAGTCTATGATAAGCGGAGAAATCTCATTTTTTAGACACAATTGGTGTTGACCGTCTATCGAAATAAAAACCGGGGTCGATCCGTTGGTATTCAGTGGGAAAATCAAGCTTTGACCCACCAGGCCAGTTGCTTCTGCAGGGGCTTCATTCACTGCAGTGGTTAACAAATTGCTAGATTGACGTGACTCTMATTTCTACCGGAAAGGAAACACTCTGATAAGCACTTCTATCGTAGGAAAGTGAAAAGGAAGGGAAGGAAATTTCTAATTTTGAAATACTTTCAAAGCAAAGATATTATACAGGCTATTTCGGATAAAAATGATTTTCTAAAATGCTTCATGTTCACTTTAATCATAGTCAATTGGCGTTGATTGATCAAATGATTCAATGATGTATCAATTGGTTTCTCATTAATTGATTAATTGTTCCACTGGTTCACTGATTATAATTAATCGGCTGATTGATGGATTGATTGACTGAGGCATTGATGAGGGAGATAGAGAGAGCGATATGAGGCCGATGTGGGCGGAATACTTGACGGGGGTTATGGTACGAAGTCTGACGATGTATCGCGGCTTATGTGGGCAACCTGCCTGTATGGATGTGGGAACTCGTCCTAATTCTCTTTTTATCTCAACAGAACCAACAAGCACGACTAACATCACAAACACCACACAACCGTGCAACATGATGACACTAGAGTCTCTCATCACTTGGACGACAATCTACATCATGGTTGGTCTTTTTGTGATCTTTTTCAACTCGCTGGTTTTGTTGTCWTTCTTCAAAAACAAGTCCTTGCGCACGCGCACAAACTACTTCATAGCTAGTCTAGCCTGGGCTGACTTTCTAGTTGGCGCCGTCTCTATCCCGGGCTGGCTAGTGATCATAGTAACRAAATGTAACGGGAACTCGTTAATAGGAAAAATATGGACAGCATTTGACATGCTAGCGGGAATAGGCTCCATATTTCACCTTATGGCTCTGAGCTGGGATAGACTTTGYGCCATWGTATGGCCTCTCCGACATCGTCTCTACTCTAGACGCAAGTACATTTTCATCTTATGCATGGTGTGGGGCTTTTCAACTGTTATTTCTGGACTATCTGTAATCGGCAACGAGAGAAATACAAAAGCTTACAATGTATCGGTAATTGTACTTTGCTTTTTCGTACCATTAATMGGGATCGTAGTGGCACAAGGAACCATCTTTTATAGGATTCACCAGGGTGGACACCGTAGCGAACAGCGCAGTAGCCGTCACATTAAACGAGAAATACGAGCTGCTAAGACCATATCTATAATGATAATGCTTTTTGTGATTGGATGGCTACCATTTTTCACGATTTCGCTGTTAAATTACATCACAAAGGTAACAACGTCCTATCATGCCATCATGGCGGTCAAGTTTCTGCAGTACTCTAATTCCTTCTTTAATCCTGTCCTCTACGCGCAAAAGTTTCCTGAATTTCGCAAGGCGTAYGTTGCCATGTTATGCGCTTGTTGTAAGGATAARAAAGAACTGTTTAAAAATAGCCAGAATCCAAGCTGTACTTATTACCGAACGGGAACCTACCGAACTGTAGTYGTGCGTTCACCAAAATACAGCCAAAGATTTAACTATGAAMATACTCCTAACAGCAGCTCAAGGGCGCCATCACCGTCCAGTCCTRCAGAGAGACACGAAAATACCGGTGCAAAGCAAAACMCTGAYTGYGTTAGTAGTGACGAAGTGGAGCATGTCATGCTTCAACTAAGTGACACTAGTAAGGACGAKTAATTTTKCCGATATTTGAMATTTGTAAATGCGCATAAAATGCAGTAAAAGAGCCTTGWTGTGTAAAGAGACAATTMACRATTTGAAATGACTACATAACAAACTGCTAATCTTCTTCGTTCTCTTKAATGAAGTCTTGTAGTTTACTCTATACGCATGCTCGTTGGTATGTTTTGCGACCGTTTCCCACATGGYTTATTGCCTGGTCAGTGATAAATATTGAGCGAAAAGTATAATTATAAACGCAAAGAGAACTAATCTATGAAAACCTAAATGTGTCTGTTTTCACTACGTAGCACATAAGCATAGCAACGATAAGCATAAATATAGAAAGATTGAAAAACATGTTCGYTTTACTAGGAAACTGTATGTTTCAAGCTTATTCTTGTGTTTAAGTGAAAACAAGCTGATGCCTTTTGCTATGATTATGTCCAGTGAAAAGCTGCCTTTATTGTACAGTGATAAAACTAAACAGAAACTGTATGAAACAAATATAAGAGAATTTGTCTCAATTCAAAGGTTATTGAATAAACTTTAGTCAAAGAAGTAGAGTAGTTAAAACRAGCAACAAACTATTGTTTTAAGAGCTTAGAATAAAAGATTTTAAGCCTGCTTAAAAATAAATTTGTAAAATAAAAATATGCAAAACACACTTGTTTAAGTGATATAAATTTTTCGTCTTTGTAGTAATGACATTGAAACCACGGGGATTTTCACAATATATATATACACACTATCAGAAACCATATGTTTTTGAAACTTGCCAGACAGTTTGTTATTGAAGTAGTTTGAARGAGAACTGGGTACAACATCCTTTAGGWCACAGTGCATGTTTGTGTTAATAAAATCTTTAAGTCTTTTTTTCCAATGATTTCTGTTCAATGTAATATACTTCATAATATAAGGATTATTATAAAGTATGTTATTTTGTGGTTACATATATTATGGCATGCTTACTGAAATAATCAGAATTACATGCATTTGTGCTAGAAGTCATAAAACACAAGATTGATTAATATCAATAATTCCATCAATTAGAAAATATAAAGTTACTAACATAGAAAAGGTTCAGAAAGAAAACATCTAGAACTACCTACTCGAAGCTACATTCTCATTGGCTTCATCAATAAAGGCTTATTGTGATAGTCATGCAATGATACTGACTTGCATTTTGTTAGGATCTGATGTTTGGTTAGATCATATGAAGCATGTGAAACAGTCATCAAGATGCCTAAAAAATTTATTGCAATTGTCACCAAACTTTGAAAAAGTTATTAAACTAAAACCTGTTCTTAGCAGACCCCTACATCCATAGAATAATTTTTCTGAAATTCAATTAATACCTGCTAACAGATAATTAATATTTCCCAGTTTGGTGAAAATCACTCATATACAAAAAGAGAAAAGAAAAAAATTAGAAATGAAACGTCATTTGTGAGAATGTTCAGATATTGTTCAAGTGAAATATGTTATCCAAAGTACGAGTGTTTATTTTCCAGCTTGCTTTCGTAGCATGATGTAAATTTGCTCCTTTATCCACTCCTTGTTATGTGGTGTGTACATCTTGCTCTTTGTACAAACGAGACAACTGAGATCAGTCAGCTCATCAATGAAGTCAAACAGCTGACTAATGTCGTAAGTGATCGATGGTGTGTTAGGATTGGTTCGTTTTAGGTGTTCTTCAAAGATTTTGCATATTCCTTGGTAAGAAAAAACAAAAGAATATGGTCGTCAACCTTGGAAGAAGTGGTGTCTATTTGAAGCAAGATGATCGGAGAGTTTGCAATAAAGGCTATTCTTTCATACCTGGAACTATCTATTATTCACAGCTTATTTCATATACACTTACCTTCCATGCACTCATCTTCTGATTCATAGTCAGAATATGTTCTTGTGTCTGGCTTGGCTCCTGGTTGCACTAACAGGATGGTATGTGACTATACACAGATTCAAAAAATAAATTAATGAAGTATTAATTGAAGGTATAACCTGTATATGGCAGAGAAGTGCTACGGTATTATTCATATAGCCTATCTTTTGGAGGATATATGCCTTAGTTAATCAACTTGTCTCAAGAAGGCAAAATATTTACATGTTTGTAGGAACAAAGCCCAACAAAGGGAGATAATCTTCAACAATTCTATATACGGTTTCCTGAGTTAAAGTAACAAGGTGTAACAATGCTTTTTCTACAAAACCTCTCTAGTGGAAACCTTTCAGAATATATTAGTTGTATTTGTTGGAAGTATTCAGAGATTCTTGGAATTATTCCACTGGTATCAAACTCGAGATGTTTTCATGTGAATCAAAATCTTCAATTTTGTAAGCTGCTATATGGGTATTTTTCACAACCACGCGAACATACATAATAAATAAAGGATGGATGCGGTACTTGAGATACACTTATTGCTGTTTTACCGTGCAAATACTTACCATTTTCAATTTAAAAGAAGGAGAAATCTACAAAAACTTTACAAACACAAAACCACGAGATAAGAAACCTACACTTTGTGGAGCATACACTTTTACATTATACCGCTGGACGGACAAATCTTTTGTTTGATGCAACCAATCAGAGAAGTGTTCAAAAATGACCATAACATTTTCAAAGTAAAACCGCCAAAACTGCTTAAAAATTGTGCAAAAGCTTTCATCTGAAAAAGCAGAACAGCATGAAGATGGTTGYTCCGGTAGGTAACGTAAATACCTTTTGTAATATATTGAGTATTACTAATAAATTGCGGGCGAATTTGTTATTCTTTTTATCTATTTTGAACAGGACTTCGAAGAAACTCCTGATAACACAGACTTCGACACTGACGATGAAGACTTCGATGAAAACGAAGATCTTTCGCCGCTTCAGATAGATTGGTAATACAGTAATGCTTGAAGAACAACTGTTGTTTTTGAGGCATTCAGGGGTTATTTAACTGTGTATTGAATGGCCCATAAACGTGCGGTAGTCAAAAAAGATGCATATCAAAGTCATGCAGAGTTTTGTCAGAGAAAGCATTGAATTTCTAATTTTTCTTTATTTTGCTTAATGATAGGGTTGACTTGTCACATTTGGGATGTAAACCCCAACACATAGGAATGACTTCTTTACCAGGTAAAATGTTGGCATTAATTTGAATGTATTTAACTTATRAATATTTTAATATTAAAATCAATGAAATCATTATCATCACATCATGACGTGGAATTATCAAAAAAGTCATGACCTCCTTTTTTGAAGTTATCACGATAACACATCAGGATTTTTCCTTTTTATGGTATATAATCTTGTACCCATTCCTTTTGAAAGGCTAAAAAAATATGGGACTCTTCCCATATCCTACCCCCAACCCCCACCCCCCCACCCCCCACCCCCTACTAATAAATCTAGTCAAGTCCCTGGATTTATTTAGATAGTAAAAACAAACCAATGCATGTTCAGTAAGCCCTTGTCAGCATTAGGAGTGCTATTTTCATATTATTTTTTAGGCTGCAAGTTTATGCATGTCAACAGAAATCTTCAACATGATATAGGTAGGGTTTGTGTTTAATAATGTATTCAAAAGCTTGGTTTCTTTTTGTATTCAAAGTCATAATTTCTTTGTGTGGCCTTATAGAAAGTTTGGTTCATCAAGGAGTTAAAGATGTATTCATTCTCTGTACACAAGGGGAATTGATAAGGTAAGCTTAAAGCTTATACTTGTTTCATTCATTGGATATTACTATGTTGAAGATATCTGGATTTTCTATCCTTTTGTTCATTTGAGACTTGAGTCTCAGTGCAACCCTATTTGCAAAGAAGTTTTGCTGCACATGTGTAACACAGGGAAGAGTACACTAAAGATTGTAACAAGAAATATTAGAAGTATAATCAACTTATTACATCAACTGCATGTCTATTTTCAGGTGTAGAGTAGCAGACATTATTGAAAACTACAAAAATGCAGGAATCATGCCACATCACTTTCCATTGGATGAAGGAGAAGAACCACAATTCAAAACCTACTTTGAGATTGTACAAAGACTAACAAACTGTGTCCAGAATGAAAGGAAGACAGTTATACAGTAAGTAAAGCCCAGGAAACATTTTAAAAACATGGAATTAATTGTGTGGAACTTTATGCATTCAAATCAATATTATAATTTGAATGTTTTTAATCTAACGATTATCAGGTTTATATCTTATYGTTTTTGTACACAGCTGTGTTGCTGGTGTTGGAAGAACATGCTTAGGTAATCATAACACAACCACACAGAACATTTTCAAATGAGAACCAAGTTATGCATTGTTTGGTTAATGGAATTCATTTTACATATGATGCACTTTCTTTTAAAAATTTAATAGTGAAAAAAACAAGTCTTGTAAATCATAAGATGCTTCTTAGTAACTACTTTTGATGCCCCCAACAAAATTCCATGACATACCAGGCTGTTATATGCAATAACTTCATTGCTTATCAATACTTTTTCAGTTACTGGATTGCTGCTTCTGGACATTGACAGTGAGATTCAAGAAGACTATGTATTACAAAAACTGAAAGATCTCAGAGGGTCTAATGCTATACAGACTGTCAAGGTTTGTCAGATTAATGTGGTTTTAGAACAAGTTGCCTTTGCACAGAAGTTTTATGCATTTTTGATTTCTATTTCAGCAATTCAACTTTATCAACGATTACAGAGAATCAAAATCCAAGTTTATAATGCAACCAATTCAGGAATCTCCTCCATCTCGCAGTGTTTCAAGATAAATACTATAATTGATGAATAGCTAGTATATACCTTTGGTATTACGTGGTAAACATGATGCAAAATAATTACTAATATGATAATAATAGACATTGCAAATTTCAAATTGAAGGGACCTCAAATGCAAAATATTGCTAAATATATAATCAATGTTATGTTGTTTGTTGAGCTTGTTTTGAAAACATGTACAGCTAACTCTGAATTGTGTAAAAATAAATGAACAAGACATCATTTATAGAAACTAGTATATAAACAAAATAAGTTGCAGTGTCCTCTCTTAACCTTTATTCAAAGTACATATTGTATACTTTGTACAGTTTTGTGCATTGGATATAGTTTCCAAAGCTTAYAAATATACCATGCTGTGTGCAAACACGTAACAACAGCTTTATGAATGCTACAATCCAATCATTCTGGCCTAATTGTTAGGGCAGTGGAATTCATAAAGTTAGTTATAAATAATTTATTCCCATGATCAACAATTGTGGAATTGGCGTGACATTGTTTCCAGATTGTGCTTATAACATCATTACAATTACCCTATATATTTTACATTAATTTTCGCCTTTTCCAGACTGACATCAATGCCACACTCCATTGATTTTTCCTGGCTGTTTCTCGAATGAAAAATTGCATATCTTTAACTTCCAAAAGCTCAAAATTAGGTTTCATATACTTTTGAAGCGYGTCAAAGCTAGAGATATTGTTTCCATCAGCATCTTTATATCCACCTAACCAAAGGGACTGGAAATGATAACAAAAACAAGGTTAAAAAGAGGCAATGGTAGAAAACAACCAAATGGACCCTAAGAAAGTCCTGATTGTCAATGGTAACCATACCTTTGGTGTAAATTCTTCCATCCATGTGAAGGGGCATGTCAGGACAACTATACCACCWGGAGCAACAAGGGATGGAAGCCGATCAAGAAAYTTGTATGGATTTGGTAACCTGCAAATTAAGTTTGCYGCAAGAAYACAACCAAACTGTCCAAGATCTGCTGGAAGGTTGCAGGCATCACCCCATTGGAAAGAAACTCTGCTTCGATCCTAAAAACAATGAAAAAGGTCAACTAAGAGGTGTGCACATGGGGTTTCATGAGAGGGGCTCCAGCTGTTTTTTTCTAATGGTATAATATATTGTTCTATTTCTGCTTACAATTTTTTCATCAACAATAGCATCATGCTCAGAGTACAGAGAGCCTTCTGTGGTAACTTGATAGTGCAGTTTACCATAAGTCTTCAGCTTGACACATGTTTCGATGAATGCTTGGGAAAAGTCAATGCCCACCACACTCTTGAATGTTTTTGCCAGCTCAAATGTTGATCTACCCACTGCACAACCAACATCAAGCGCATTACTTGGGGCGTTAGTCTGTTTTATAAAAGGAAAAGATCATATTTTCAATAATTTAAGGGGGCTGGCTGTATAAACAGCCAAAGTGGCTTTTTTCAATTTATTGAAAATTTCAAAAATACCCTAAAAATGTGACCATTTTCGCAGCCAGCCCTTCAATTGTGAATAGTGCAGGGCAATTAACACAGCAGATAGGGATGTTTTTCTTGTGATTGACAAATGATGATGATTATCATTGATCATTATTGATAGGGATATTTTCCTTGTGACTGACAAACGATGATCATTGATCAGTTATACCTATTGATCAGTTCAGTGTTTCGAAAAAAACAACAACAACAGAACGTTCTAAGCACATCTTTGTGCATCCTCGCGTTTATAAACAGGATAGGAGTGAACATATTATTGGGTATTCTGAAAGCTGTTTGAAACTGCTGAACTTACCTCAGCATATCGAATACAAACATCTGCACAACGTAGAGGGAAATCTAAAGCATCTATTGGACCATAACTGTATGATAGCACCTCTTTCGGCTTACCATAGTGAAACATCAAGTATTCGTTAACGAGTTTCGCTGTTTCATAGCAGTTCTTCGACCTTTGGCTAAAATACCTGTACAACAGCAAAGATATCGTTGACGCTGCTAGAGCGCTTCCACCACATATAATAATATCTCGTTTGTTCATTATACAAAGACGTTTGTAAATATCAGTAAAAGGAATCTGAAGAAATATAATAAAATCGAAGCGCGAATTTTGAAAGAAATCGTGCCACGAGTCTTGAAATTTTTCTTTATGCGCCAGTATACCTTTTGGCAAGCGGTCACCGTCTTGGATTTAAATATTTAACTTCACAACATTTCTCTCTGGTCTTGGGGATGTAGCTCAGTGGTAGAGCGTCCGCTTCGCATGCGGAAGGCCCGGGGTTCGATCCCCCGCATCTCCATAATTTTTTTCCTATCTTTTTTTTCTTTATTTGATGTGGACATACGCCTAATTGTATTGTTTTCTTCGTGTCTGATTTTGATTATCATGTTTTTTAAAATAGTCAAAGTTTTGTTTCACGCGTTTATGACATTCTTTGTTCAGGAGACTAGCAATATTTTTTTACAATTTAGTAGTGTTTCACGGTTATAGTGTTTTCTCTCTTGTGCAATAAATCTATGTTCTACGGGTTGCTTTGGTTAGTAATCTTTTTATTTCACCAAATTGAAACTTTTAATTAATAAAATCGCGCACTTTAAGTGACTGATGTAAGTGACTGATGACTGATGTAAATTTAAAATTTACATCAAATTTACAAAATTTTGGACACTTGCACCATATTTACATCAAATTTACAATCTTTACTTGAAGTACGCGATTTTTTTCCAGTTGATATTCCCAGTTTCATGTACTTCTACTCAATGAGGCATTGGTATGTTTYACTAGGAATGTACTTCATTAGTAAAGGAAAGTTCCACTCTTTCTCCACTTCTTGACTTTGCATTATAAAGTGATGCATTAGTTAAAACACACTTCCCATCTATTCTTGGTAAGTCCATATGAAGAATATCATTCCTCGAATGTTCATTAATGGCACAGCATTTATAACAACACATCTGSAACTCCGAACGGAACTCCTCCAAGCCAAACAGGAAAACAAGCGGAATAAYAATGTTRCTTGAATAGTGCAAACAGCGTAAAAACATTGTAACTTCTCGTGGAATAGAATGAATTAAAAATGCATTTATCATGCAGTGTATAGTATGTAAGGGAGCTTGTAGTATAACACAAAAAAACATAACTCGCGCAACGACTACTGCAATTTGGTACTCAATTCGACGTATTTCTGTTCTAAAATTTCTCTTCTTTTTTAATTTTATGGCCAMAAATAAAATRCACGACAGCAGCAGTGGRAATAGAAARCATACCGCAGCAGATATTACAGAAAGTTCTTTRAAATTGTAAAAATAGTAGACTAAAAACGCAGATGTTGTTAAAATTSCAGTCGTCAGCCATATTGCACAGCAAATGACGTAATCGTGGCGATCGGGGGATATRCGATGTTGAATGGACCAGCCAATAGCAAGCAGTCTTTCAATCATAAGAACGATGATATGGATAAACACCAATAAACTGTGAAAAATGTCTACAGTGTAGTAAAAAGTATCACTTAATGTCTCTTTTCCATTTGTATTTCTTGCAACCAAGATGGCGATCCATGCTGGTAGACCGGTAAGGGTGACGAACAGATTACCAAGAAGAAAACTTGTGAGAAGATGTCTGAATTTCGGATGACGGAGATTATCACTGAGTACTACAGAGCTTAGTTTAAGCACAGTTATGTTTAGTATTAACGAAAATACAAGTGTAGCACCAAAGATGGCYACTAGTATCCAAACAACTGTTTCCGAAAATCCAGACATCCCTGAATGAAAGCTGTCGTCTTGACGTTACAAACTGGAAAAGAAAAAGCAAACTGATTTTATTTTATTTTCAGCTTGTTGTCAGTCAGTCAGTTATTAGGACATCTAGTCTTAATACTGAGGAATTGACTAACAGAAACAGTCTGTCTATTTGTAGTTCGGCTACAAAGAGTCAAAGAGTGTTGGTCTGTCTGTCTGTTTAAATGGTCCTCTACTAACTCTACTGTCTACTAAGCTACAGTCAGATACTAAACAAACACTACAAGCCCTGAAACTATCTGAAATAACGGAAGCAAGCATGCGGAAATTTGTCACTTGATATCCTTATTTCATCCATTAGWTGGTTGGATTATCACTGCCAAATTTTTGCTACTTGTTTTCACTTATTTACCACTATAGACAAAAAAAATTAATTTGATTTAAATATAAAGTTGTCGGTGTGATAATTAAAATCCGTTGCTCAGCAGTACTGATATGTTTCGTTGTACATTTGCAAAAAAATGAATTGAAAAACAACTTTCAACGCTAGCAATGCACACAAACGCAACAATTCTCASTATTAACTGTGGACGGGTTATCAACAATATTTCCACCATTTAATACGAAAATATAAAGAAACTGAACTTAATAAAAATCAGGACTCGAGTCAGTAAAGTGTCACTACTTACTTTAAAACAGCAAAGTAAATATAAATCCACCGTATATAGTTTCTCGCGTTGTAAAAAACTTCCACTATAAAAAGAAGTTACGGCTTTGTGTTTATGTACGTCAAGAAAATATCTCGTTTATCCGCTGATTTACGACATTGTTGTAGTCATTCAAGAACATCCAGAATTAGAAAACACGTAGAACCATCTAGCCACGACGTCACTTGGTAAACCACAAGAGACAGGTACAATAATTATACAAACGACTTGCATGTCATATCACCAGTTYGCATTGTTGAAACACTATTATACTATAAATAATTCATAAAATAKAAACAATTATTATGAAAAATGAAAGCGGAAAAGGAATACGAAACATCACCTTTCGTTATTGTGTACTTATACTTCCCTTTGTTCGGTTTCTATGTTGTCTGAATCTTTTCGCACGTTTACTATTTCACTTTTATGAATTTCTCCCCTGGACAGATGCTGTTTCTTTGTACTCGAAACTTTCTGAAGTAAGATGTTTTTATTTTCGGTGTAAACAAGGACGATTGTTTATTTTAGAATATTCAATTACTATGTACATGTAAATTGGTAACATTTCCCCTCCCCTTAATATATAAACACGCTATCAGTACTATAGTAACATCATTTCCTGTACACTTTCAAGTAATGTCACGTTGCGTTTACAGAATGATTTCTAATTTCTAGTTTACACGTAAAGCTTACGTGATTTCTGCTAAATCGTTCCTTAATGACATGCATATAAGGTTATGAACACAAACAAGTTTTTCATTCTGTACTATTTATAGATGACCTCTAGCCTCAAATTTATCATTTATAGATTTTTATCCCATTCATTTGTCTATTATTTCATTCATTCATTCATCCATTCATTCATTCCTTTACTCTATAAATCATTCCCATTTTATCACTCTACTTCCAATTCTTTCTACTTCATAGACAACGTTTATCCTCCTATTTTAGAAAAAAAGTGAAAAAATTATCAAGCATGTCTGCTAACACAAAAATACAACATAAACAGTTTTATTTACAAAAAAGCTACAAAATAAAGATTTTTTTACTAGATTAAACCTGTCCACTGTAGTAGATTTTCAATGGTTGTCTTCTGGGTCATCTTCTAGGGTATCAGGWGCRGGATTCAGCATTCTAGACTGCAAACAAGCAGATAAATTGAAATAGTCTCAACCTGATCTATTTAAGCCACAGAGGCCTGCGTTCAAGGCAATCTTTGGTTTTAGGGGAATCACCAGGGACAAAAAAGAAAATGGAAACATTTTCAGTTTAAATGACTTTTTGGTAGAGTGGAAACCATCCCTGCCAGTCAAATAGGCCAGTATCAATGCAAATCAAAYRCACAGCCCAGCCAAAAACACCATCAACTTTATATTCAWMCCTTGGACTCACCTTTGGATTGGAATATTTTGATATAAATTTCTCAAATGTTTTGACAAACTCTCCCTTGACGAAAAGGTCCTCTGGTTTTACTGTTGAAAATAGAGAAAAKATTTWAATCTTAGATAGTTTTTCTAAAAGACTTTGAAGTGWCWCAAGCACAGCARTGTATGGAYRMAACCACATTCTGCTTTTGGGSTTCCTTTGGAAGAAGAARGGARCTGAGGATAAAGAAAGAGGAARACTGGAGGAYGTAGGAAAACTTTCTTTGTTCCCAGTTTTTTCAGACCCAAAATAWCTCCAATAGTTGAATAAAAGGAATTGCCTTACAGAGGAGACTGGGAAATATCATAGTGGGAACTAGCAGTAAACTAGTTTGAGYTGTGTCAAACTAGTTTACCGCTAAATATTAAAACATTAGGAAATATCATAACTGTCTCCCATTCAAACAGAAAAAAGGGATCATTTCATTCTTTCTTCCTTTCATTATATGATGCATTGCAGACTAGAGAGATGCTTGGGAAAAGTCTGGGACTACACTACAGGAGAGCCACTGTATGAAAGTGCATTTATATCCTCTAGCTGTAGTAAGGCTTATGTAGTTGGAGTCAAGATGGACTATATCATTTAAACAGCATATAGCGTTACTATCCTCAGCATGGGTGTGCGGTGATGCAGATCACATTACTACAGTAAGCAAAGCAAGAAAAGGTGATAAAAAGCAATTTCTTTTCTGAGGAAAACAAAGTTATATTGCCTGTGGCATACTAATAGGAGCATAAAATTTAGGAATCGAAATGCAAGCTAACCTCTTGTTTCGCCRCCTGTCTTGTGCGCGTAAACCATGCCAAGTTGAGTCAAAAATAGCATGGTGCACATGCCGTACAGAAGATAAGAGTTGTATTTATGCAGTTTTAATCTSACATTCATCCATCTACCCATAATGAAGCTATTTTTTTGGTCAAAATGTCGCCAGAGCACCTCATACAGAATCAGACAGCCGCCATGTTGATTATAACCACAGGCAACCCATCCATAGACGAATTGCCAGCACAGGAATCCCAAGAACCATTGCCAAAACAAGGAGATATGGAAGTATACAAAAAACAAAAATAAAGGAACAAAACAAAACAATGAAAAGCGAAAAGAAACAAAGAAACAAACARAAAACGAGACTAAATAGAGTAGCAGATGAGATTGCTAACGATTATCTTATCATCTTAGAAAAGCCTTGATGCATATGATTTTTTAAATTGATAAAATTCAATTTTTGACTAGATCTTTTGTTGTTTATTTTTCCAAAATGGGACATCTAAGTKCTCACACCCAGTCCTAGAACTGCCTGATAATATTTTTTTTTTTTCTAAATAGTAAACGATAGAGGATGACTTATAACCCTTCTCCCTACTGACACACCCTGTCCTCAATAGTTACCATTATTCGCAATACCATGAGAAGAAACTGACACTCTTTTTGGTCAGAACTTTTAGAACAAATGTTTGTTTTTATTTTTATCGCACAGTTTTATTATATAGTGAATCAAAGTCGCAGATTGTATACCGCCACGTGCCAAGTTGAGAAAATGCCGCCAATCGCAGKGTTATTAAACCTAACGGAGTACCCAGCGATTTTCTTTATTTAAATACTGCAATAGCAAGTTTTCRTATCTCAGATCATCCTTCAAGCCTTGTGAGATGGAGATCTCTTGATAATTACAGACGTCACCTTGAAATGCTTGATTTGTTTTCGTAGACAGTAAATTCCATTCTTTCTATAAATATCCCATCTTCAATCAAGACAGTTAGATTGACAGTAGATGATAGCAAAACGAGTGACAGAACCCATATAACATCAAGTGTTTTCTTGTAAATGAATTCAAAGTGATATCTTGTAGCTAGATAGAAACAGTAAACTGGGATAAAAAAACAAGCAAACAAACAAAAAACCCGCAAGTTTATAGCACTATGGCCATGAGTTAAAAATGTCGCATTATGCAACCTCAACTTATATCCAATGACGACATTAGAGTGAATCAGAAAGTGATTGAGTGCTTTCCTCTGACACTTCAAATTCATAGCTTTGATTAGAAGCACAGTATTTATCAAGGTAGGAGATTTTCTGCCAAAAATAACGAATGCGTCGCCGAGCATTCAAAGAAAGTGCTGCTTGCGTAGGTTTTAGTGAATAAAAGATTTCAATTCTCTTCAATTCTTCTTATTGTTTTTCTACCTTTTATGCATATTTTTAATTTTTTTTATTTTTATATAATTTTATTATCAAGTATTTTATAGTTTTTATTTAGTTATTCATTTATTTTCTTTAATTTTCTTTTTTTTTTCTTCCTCACTTTTCTCAGTAGTCGAACCCTGAAATGTTACAAAAAGTTAAACATCTAAGTGCACTTAATCGCATTTTCTCAGGGTTTTTTTCTGCTTTAATATCAGTTGAATTGAATGTAATACGTTCTCTGGTTTTGTGATGTCAGTGAGCAAATATATTTAAGCCGTTTAAAGGGTTCCACAGCCTGTGCGTCGAAAATCATAATACTGATGAGATACAAACAGGATCTTTTTCTAGAAAACCAGAAGGTTTATTTAGCGAGAACACCTCAGGCTTTTATTCACAAAAACACACGCAGCTTGCATCTATATAGACTCACAGAACACCTGCTTGAGTTCTAGAGTCGTTTTCAATTCCTACCATGATATATTGCCAGCGAAACCAAGTAGAATGGAAATGTCAATTGATTTTGCTTTATTGACTAATAAACGATTAATTAAAGACACAACGAATATACAATAAACTCGACATAATATACGTGAACACACARTTGGTTATTTGAAAATTAAAAAAAAAACATCTCTTTTCATTTCTGGCCGGGGACGTTTTGGAGCATTTCCCCTCCCTTTATCAGGACAAAATTATMAAACCTTGAACCGCCCCCTTCCCTTCCCCCAACATTATCAGTAAAAAAATATAAAATGACGACAGCACCATTAAATGAACAGTGATGTTCAAATGTCCAAATTTCCTAAATCTTGAAGCTCAAAGAACAAAGTTTGCCGCAAGGGCCCTTGGTGTAGAGACTGTAGTTCGGTACTTGTGGATCAATCAATATTTTTAAAGATAACGGATTCGATTTAATATTATTTTCAATATGTTTTTACTCTATTTCTCAAGGTCTTAAAGGGCTGTTGTTTGAGCTAAAAGTAGTGTATTATAGATTGAAGTGATCCTTCAGAACTTAATTGTTATAATTGAAGCATTTTATTCTAGTGGGTCTTTTTCAATCATTTGCCGAGTTGGATTGGCTCACCATATTTGGCAATGCCTTGAGTTTATATTTTGCGCCTTCCAACAAGCGGAAATGATTCAGCCGTTTTTGCTTTATCAATCTTTCATGTGATTGCGTATTCAGAACAACACGGACAACCTCTTTGACAATATCTGGTGTAATGTTAGATTTTCGTCAGAGCACTGACAAATTGCTCTCCCTTCTTTGGAAAGAACCGGTCAAAAACGACGAAACTTCATCTTAAGGTCATATGCAAAAAGGTAAGAAAATCAGGCCGTTTTATGAATATTTTGACATTAAAAAAAAAAAAAAACTGACTGACCAACTGTGTTTAAGATGAAATGTCGCCACAACTTTCAAATGGATACAGTTTCATCTCAAACAAGGAAATCTGATTATGAATTTTGTAAAGTTAGATTTGACATAGACTGCATTATAGCAGAAAAGCAAATATTTTATCACGAGTGTTTACACAAGATAAGCTTAAAAAARGAATGGGGAATGCTTCCATGAAGTGTGTTTGGGGTCTAAAGTTCACAGAGTTTTATGATCACAGAACATAAAAGCAAATCAAATGAAAATTCGTATAAACGTCATTGAAACTGCAAAAGCGAAATCCTCCAATTCTCTCAACGAAAACAACTAAACAAATGCCCAACACTGAAAATATAACCTTTTGTTGAAAAATCCATTAATATGTCACAAATCACAATGGCTKATCTCAAATTGAGAATTCTCGGCATGAAAGAAATTGTGAATGGTGGGATAATAAAAATATGTCTAAAACCTCTTTTAATAAGTAAAATATGCTCTTAACTGATGAGACATTTTTTGGGTTTGGATGTTTAAACCTGCGTCAATTAGGTCTAATTGAGACGCCATTGAAAACGTGTATTYCCACTTTACTATGGAGTAAATTTTGTGAAAAATAAATGAATAAATRACATTAACTGTATTCGGATTACACAAGTGTAGTTGATATAATTGAATCGAAAAACACTCTGGAATAAAACACAAGTTGTATCCATTAAAATGGATCCTTTTTGGGCCTCTGCACCTGCGGTRTTGGATGGCTGGCGCATTTAAATTTTAAAAGAAATAACTTGAAAATTACCGATAAAAAGAGCTTTTGAGAGTATTTTRGGCGTCTTGCAGCATTTCGATCCATCAAATGAGATTGCTCTCTTAAATCCATTASAAGCAACACTCAACTGTGGCCTTGTGCGGAAACCTCMTGATCATGTGAAAATGAACTAAATTATTGCTAACAAGCAACGTAACTGTGTGAAATATCTTATCAATAAAGTCATTGAAATAGATGCAGACTAGGCGAATAACAAGCAAATATTTGAACTATATCGAGTCAATATTGCATATTTTTACTCTGTTGAAAAGATACTACGATTTGCAATGATCGTTATATCGAAAACAAACTTTATAAATCACATATATCATATAAGGCCTAAGGACTAAATTAGACTTTGCATTATTAAAAACATTTTATGTTAGTTTTGACTAAAAATTGAATTAATGTCACCGGGTACTTTTTTCTAAGCGTAAAAAAGTAATAAATAAATGTTAAAAGCTATTCAGTCAATCAATTTTTTTTCCTAAAAACCTCTTCAGTAATGAAATAAAATACAAAAATATGCCTTGATAAATGTATTCGTGTAACAGACTATCGAAAAGATAATTTCTATGAAAGACTGAATTATAGTTATAGATGATTAACTATCAGCAGATCAGCGGTATAAGAAAAAAGAGTAAAAAGGAAACAGAAGAATTCTCCATTAATCCATGTTATTTAGAAAAACGGAAAAAAACAACGGTATCCAGTCGGCAAACTTAAGAAAAAAAATCAACAAAATATATCCTGTTTACATCTGGGTTTTACTAATTATTCAAGGAAAAGTAAAAGAATAGGAGATGTAATTCAAGTTAAACAGACMTAAAAAGAACGGAAATATTTGTCCCGCAGTAATTTATATCGTTTTGCATGATCATAGTTATTGTGCTTTGATTTTATTCGATATTAATGACTACAATTGCAGCCCATTTTTAAAACGTTTTAACGTGAGTTTATAAGTCCTGATGGGCGATGACCTCAAAACAACTTAAACAAAAATGTATTTTATTGATTCATACGACTGAGAGCTAAAAGGATGAGAAAGTCTGGCATCTGTCCATATTCATAAGAAGAGGAAACGCCAAAAAGCACCAGTTTCGAAATCACTTAATGTCATTATTTAGAGAAACCAAGTGAAATATAAAAGAGAATACATCAAAGATCGAAAGAACTCAATCTGTAAAATCTTCCATGTTTACATTTCTGTATGGTATATAGGCGAGTGAAATTCTAGCTGACGCGGTTGGTATATATATATATATATATGATATATTTCCTCCAAAGGATCTTTGAGTCAGTCTGTTATCATTCAAATTGTTCAATGTTTTTTCCACTACATGAACAGCAAGGGTCACARTTTCCAATCCGCCTGCATGATACAAATTTGGTATTACTTAAAAAGCTGATAGTGTTTTGCGTATTCGTTGAACTAACAATAAGCAAAGCAGTAACGTTTACAGTCAATTTCAACATTTATCAGTAAACATAGTGATTGATTTAATATATACAATTAATAAACTTGTTATATTGCTTTATTACAGGCAGTTAACCAATGAATAACAGTTCACTAGAACCGTCAAGCGGAGAGATTCCATGGTCAGTCACGTTCACGTTGTCTGAGTTAGTRATATGGATGTTTGTATGCAGTGGTGTTAGCGTTATCGCTATCGCAGGCAATCTTATGGTCATCGCGGCGTTTGTGCGAGCAATCAACCTCAATTCGAGAGTWAACTACTTCGTAGTTGGATTAGCAATGGCTGACATTCTAGTTGGCGGCATTTCTATTCCAATGTGGGATTATATWCTGTATTTGAGTTGGAAAAGGGAAGGAATCTCGCTGCTGGTCACTCGTATCTACGAAGCTTTCGATGTGTTTGCAGGCGTGAATTCCATACTTCATCTTATGGCGGTCAGTATRGAAAGACTTTATGCTACTCTAAAGCCATATTCCTGGAATAACAATTCACACTTGAAGAAAATAATTTATCAAGTTGCTTTGGTTCTAATATGGACTTTATCGTCTATACTGGCAATATTATTTGCCATTCCTTGGAACTCAACCGTCCATACAACACGATTTCATTTAATGAATATTTTTTTCTTTGGACCGTTGGTGATAATATGTTTGGCTTATGCAGGAATATGGTATGGGATCAAAAAGAGAACGCATATACGCTCGCGAAAYGCCAGCGAGAAATCGTTAAAACTGACCTTCACTGTTTTAATAGTAATCGGACTTTTTATCATGGCGTGGCTGCCTTTTTTCRTAGTTCGTTTTATCTTAGATAATTGTAGAAGGTACTGTATTCCATGGCGTGTGTTTTACTTGACAAAACTGTTGCACTTCAGTAATTCTGGCATTAAYCCTATTATYTATGGTCTTCGAATACCCGAATATCGCAAATTTATCACGCAGGTATTGCATGTAAAACGGTTAAACTTTTTAGTGAATTATTAYGCRYTRTTTGAGACAACAAACGAGATACGAAGACATTGCTCAAGACTCGTAGGTGAAGCTACGAATGGCAACACTTCACGCCCYAACTCAAGGYTGATCAAAACGTCYACTGTTTGACCGATTAAAACTGTACATGAACTCCTTAATTAATAGAGAGACTAAATGAAAAATAAATTCATTTRAATATAAATCGAGCCTTTAGATCAAATCAAAGTTAAGGTTATCCGGCTTTTGCKTTTTCTCAYATWATTTCTCACTGTCGTTTGCCAGCACTATGCATGTTCGAAACAGATGCAGGCAAACGTCCCATGTGGGAAAGACAAGACTGAACATTCCACGGAG